ACTATAATTCAAATAAAATTCAATAAAACAAACATTTTCAAGCGGGTGGAGGTGGGGGATCGAAAGAGTGGTCACTTGAACAAAACCCGATAACCTAACCTAACCTACCCTATTGATTTAATAATGTTTTATATAACTTTCTCAATATTTTTATGTATTTTTCATTAGTTTTGCCTTTGAATATTGTTTAAGAATGACTATATAAATATTTACATGCCTAGAAATGTATAAAAATTGGCATATTTATTAACTTTCAACCCCCATAACTTTTTATGGAGATGAGACCACCACTAACTTTTTATGATAGTGTGGTGGGGGAGACCTCCTCTTTCGATCCCCCCACCCCGAAGGGGGTGGGGGCCATCATCTAGACCTTTACCTTTGAAAGTAGTATAACTCAATTCGTTCATACTTCCAGATATTTAAAGTGTTTACGTTTGATTTGGTTTAAAACCTTTTAATTAATCATTTGGAATAATACATTTTACACGATCTAAATATTTTATACCGTGGGAACAATAATATTGTTGAATTATTTAGGTCTTCCTTGGCCCATGAACACCGAATAGTGTGGATTAGACGGACCAAAAATTAATTTTTTGGATTGCATGTAGATGGAGCTTGTTTTATCATTAGAATATTTAATTTGTTTCAAGTGTCATAATACTGAAATACTAACAAAAATTAGTAAAAAATATGAAACTTACAGGGGTTTTATAAAAAGTGGCCCATCTCTCCCGACTATATCCTGTAGATCTAAAATGTGTCTGTCCTATTTTCTAAATGCACTATTTAAGAAGAAATTTTATCAATAGTGGAGTGAACTTCGTTATGTACCTACTGCTTCATTTAAGCTTATCTCTTAAGGGTGTTTGAACTAAACCATAATCGATTTCCGCTGCACTCATTTTGTGCACGCCGCGCAATATCTACAATTATTCCCGCTTTCAGTGACGTTTTAAATGTAGACACCAAAGGACGCTAATTTAATTTTCTGCAATTGTAAAATCTCACGAAAAACTCCTCAATTCCGTCCCCGTTTTCCATTAATAATTCCAAGTGGAACGTAATGTGCAGAACGTGATCTGCCGCATATTCATTAGAAGTTGCAGTGCAAATTGGTTTTCCTACCTCGCTAGATACATACGTACATGCATTTATAGATATGTATGTACATATCCAATTTATAAGGCACATTAGCGAGTATTGTGTATAAGGGAGTAGCGCAAGCGACAGGAGTGTATTAGGTACTAAGAAAACTAATAATAGACTGGGGAACTCTTGCTAGTCCCCGTACTCTAATTCCCCAGTCGTCATTGTCAGTTAATTTTGAGGTCGACACTAATTCCTTCAACGGTCTGGAGGGACTTACAACTCCAAACGGTAATAGCGCCCGAAGAGTGAAAACGACGCGGGACTACTTTAATCGACAAACCAAAAGTATATATGTACGCCTAGCTAAGTAATTAATGTCAATTACGCAAGCTGATCACGGGAAATTGGTTTGGTGACGTGATCCAAAAATTTTAAATCATGCTAGGACAAAAAATATCCTGAAAATCCAAATAACGGAATTGAATTATTTATTAAAAACTAAAAAGGGCTCAGTTTCTTTCACGTCACTACTTTAGATTGTAACTCAATTTTTAATACCTAAGTAGTAGTTTTACTAAAAGCTGACTGACTGTCCTACTACTCATCAGATACACTTTTTGAAGTGAATCTTCTTTACGCACGGTAGGTTAAGTTCGCTTCATGCCAGTTGCTATGTAACGAAATCATGCAACGCATTTTCCCCGCTGTCTGTCCCTATGTATGCTTGGATCTTTAAAACTACGCAACGGATTTTAATGCGTTTTTTTTTTTAATAGATAGAGGAATTCAGGAGGAAGGTTCATATGTATAATACATGCATAATATAGCAGAGAACACTGACAATTTTAGAGGTTTCTAATGTGATGTCGTAAATAAACACATTTTTTTGCGCTTACATTGCAAACGCTGGCTGAACCCTACGAGATAGATCAAAATAATATACTACAATATTGTACACCTTAAAAAGGTCTACGAAAAAGTCCGCGATGGTATATGTCTCTCTTAGGGATAATTCACAATAACCATTTTTTATCCTTTACTTTTTACGAGAGATAATGGCTTATTTACGAAACTATTTTAAGCAATACAGCATTAATCCTTATCCAATTAAGTACTTTTAAATACATTGTGCATTTAATATAGATCAATATGGTCCTTTACAGCGTGTAATTTAAATGAATATTTTCGAAGATATTACAGGCTTAAAATGCAGGGACAGAGCGGTTGCGGCGGTACCGGTCGGTTTGCATTGTCTAATGACAAAAAAGCTGTGATTGTTGTATATGAAGACATTCTGTAGTATATTTACTATCACCATTGCACCCGTGCGAAGCATATTGTACAAATAATACCATTAAACCAATTCCTTAACCCCTATCCCGGTATGTTTGTGTGTTTAAAGAAGTTTCACTTCAGTAGCGTGTTGTATAATTACACGTTGTATCTTTTTTAAATAGTGAGTATCGTGATATTTTTTTATACGTATAGTAGCAGAAATAAACTGAATTTTATTTCATATAAATTAAAAAAGAATAGGCGTATGTAATATTCAAGCGATCTCTGTCACATGGTGCAAAATTAGCTCCACTTCAATAGCCAGCCTCCTCTAAAAACTTGACAATTGAAAAGTTAATTAACGTCCGATTTAATTTAAATTTTTACTAAAATGAATTGCTGTGACATACATCAGGACGAACGAATCCAAATTGCATAGCCCTCCCCCTAAAAAGGTTCTGTTTTCTTCCTTTAAGGTGCAAAATCTGTAAATCCATTTGAAGCATACGCAATTACCTTTTTTCTTTGTAATTACCTATCCTAAATTTTTTTTATGTAATAAATTAGAATGTTTTCCCTAATAATATCCTGAATTAATTAGGTACCTGAACTTTTGATAAAAATATCACAATCAAAGAACATTATCATTTTAAACGTCAATCATTACTGCGAAGAAGAAGAATGTAAAATAAGTACACTAACTTTTACTTGTGTGCTGTTTTCCAGTCAAGTTGCCGAGGATAAGAAATACCACGATTTCTTGAATAAAAAATTACGCATCAACTGTTTGCAGGTATCATCCATCAAGAAAAGCACTTACTAAAGTTAATTACAATACACAGAACACCCACTCGCGTACCGATTGTCTTTATTACAACAAAATTGTGAAATACTTTATGCTCAGTACGAATGCTGTTGTTCGGCATTGCACGAAAAGCACGAAGCAACACGATGTCTATACTCGGTATGACATTCAAATAACCTAATAGATTTTAATACTATACAGGGCGATTTATATGTATTAAATGCCATTATAAAATACCCAAAAGAGTAAAAATGCAGTATCCTTATAATTTATACATCATCAGGAAGATTAGAAGATATTGCAAAATGTTTTAAGTAAAAAAAAAATGATTTAGAAGCAGTTAAATAAATAGATAAATACATACGCATTTAAAGGAAAACAGGAAATAGTAACACAAAAGGATAGAAATGAGGAAGTGATGTGCAATCTCCATGGATTTATTACTGGATTATGGATTACGGATTACGAAAATTTTAAAGTGGATATTGGATTCTTGGCTAGATTACGGATTACAAATTGGATTACAGTTATTTAGGAACAATAGTTGCACCATACGCCACTAAATTTGTCAGAAAATCCAAACCATGTGAAATATAATCCTCTTGAGTAGGTGGATTACGGATTATATGAATCCCAAAATAACTCCAGGATTACGGATTACAATATACGTTGTAATCCCTAGTAATCCAGGCTTACTAACATCACTGGTCATGGAAGGTAGTTTATTTTCCAGTTTATATCAAGCACTATTTATTGTAATTAGCACTAATATCGATTTTAATAATTAGATTTAGATAATTAAGAACAATTAACAAATTATGAAATAAAGCCAAAATTAAATTTACAAACAACAATATAATTTGAAGGAAAAACCATATTTCGAGGGCGGGCCCTTACAGCATTAGGCAATGGTCTTCCTAATTAATGAAAATATTTTTAAAATTCAAACAATGCTATGCTTTTTTATCTATTTTCCATTAATATTGTTCATTTATATATGTTTGTGTTCATAATTGTAGGCAACATATTTCAATGCATTCTACATTTTATTTCAAAAGAAAAAAAAATAATGCCTGTTCATCATTAAAAGTATTAGCGTGAAATCAAAACATGCTTAAGGAATAGGTTTAAAAAAAACTGTCCATGAAAATCGTGGACCAGTATAACCACTTGATAGCGATAATACTTATTTATGCATAAATTGCGTGAAAATCCGCTGATTGTTCATAAATTTTCATACCCTCATAAAGATATGTTCAGGGCGTGAACTTTTTAATTAATTTTCGTATTCAAGTAAAAAGCAAACGGTTGATTATACGTTTTTAGTACATCATTAAATTGACGTGTTTTCCGGTTTCGAGACTGAAAACGGCCCATTTCCAAGAATTTCCGCAGATAAAATAGCTATGGGTTACGTTAAAATGAAGCCACTCACCAAGTTTCAGACGAGTGATAATAATTTGGATTAAACGGCGCTGTACTATGGATATTGATAAGAATTTTATGAAGTCAAAAATGGAAACTTCGATTTTGGAGACACAAAGAATATGTTTAAATAAATTGTATTTATCAGTGTTATAAATGCATTGGATTGTACAAACATACAGAATAAATTAAAAAATATGCTTTCCTGTGTACAGCATTGTGTTCACTATGACACTGTGGAAAGAAAAAGTAGCAGAGGAGGCGTTAACACTTGAATAAATGGGATGAAATGCACAATAAGAAGAACTTAACCAAAGCTAACAGAGGACAAATCACCCATGAAATAACATTGCAATTTCTTGATTTCGGTACATTTTAGATCCTTTCGAGCTTACAACAATTGCATAAATCTGAATGTTGTTTACCAATTAAGTTGCCGACGATAAGGCAACCACGATGTGTTAATACTAACTTACAAACACTACGTTTTAAAATAAAAAATTACGTACCAATTATATGGAAGTATTGTTCATCCAAAAAAACACTTGCTAAAGTCAATTACAATAAACAAAACATCCACTCGAGAACCGATTGTCTTTATTGTAACAAAATACTGGCATATTATATCCAGTACGAATAATGTTGCCCGGCATTGTACGAAGGATGAAACGCGAAGCTCTGCTATGACGTACTTGTTGCCAACAACATGACATTCAGATAACCGAATAGACTAACGCTATACAGGGCGATTTAATGTTATTACACAATATTTTAAAGAAAAGTAGATATGTTTGTTTGTTTGGTATTGTATTATCGTTATCATTCGTACAACATGGAAAAAATTAATAAAATATGCTGGTACAGAATGTTTAGTATAATAGAAAGGATAAAGCGCAGACAAATTAATAAATAATTACGTAATTAAAGGGGGACGGGGTTTAGCCTAGCATGAAAATGTATAATAAGGATCATTGAAGGTGGTTACCTTTGTGTGACGTTACCTAAAACGACCTTTGTCTAATTTGAAATGAAATTCTCTTCAGTCCCTTAAGAAATACTAAAAATACAATTTATAGATAGGATAAAATGTTTGTCCATATCTGAATAACTAAATATATAAGTAATAAATAATTAATAACAGAAAACTAAAATGAGATAAAGCAAATTGCACCAAAATTATTGAATTATGAACTATAATGTAACTTGAAAGGAAAAGCATATCTCATAGTCGGCTCATGGTTTTCCTGATGGTTAATTGTCAATGACTCAATCCGAACTAGCTCGTTGGTGTTGTGAAATAAACAAAAATCCGCACCATCAACTGTACTAATCCCTTAATATCCCTTACATTTCTACAAATGCTTTCAATGTATAGACGTGCAAACTTTACAGTAATTTTATATTTACAATAAAATTTTCTGTAGTAATGGATTCTACCTTTAGCTACCGTTTTGATAAAAGTTTCAAGAAATTAGATATGAAATTTATTTCTATCTTGGAGAAGTCGAGAATACGTTTGATTAAAGCGTGTTTAGTACTGTTTCAAATGTGTACCAATTGTGCACGTGTACGTTTAGAGAGAATTGACATACATGCTGGGTTGTGTATTGAGTTGTTCATTAGGACAGTGTGGGAGGAAGAAGCAGCAAAGAGAATGTGTTAACACTCGAATAAATGAGCTGATAAGCGCAATAAGAGGCGCTTGAGCAAAGCCAACGGAGGACAAATCAGCCATGAAATGACATTGCAATTTCTCGACTTATTAGATTCTCTCGAGCGTTTAACGCGTCTGCAATGCCATACATCTGCACAATAAGTGCTTCATTTTCCGTTTTATTTGCCCATGATTGGAACTGATGAGTGTCTTTTACTTCCTACTCGTTCACCAACCGACACTAAACCATCGCTTTTAAACTATCAAAACCGATAAACTTAAAATTTCATTAATTGCTTATTGTCCGATATTTAACAGGCGATGTTTTTGTTTTCCAGACTACTTCACTAAAGAAAGTAAAGTATAAAACGAAGGTAATTTATCGTAATAATTTTAATAATTTTACTATTCCTTATTGCATTTTGATAGATATGGTTCAGGACTATTATTTTTGGTACAGTTATTGAGAAAAAGACCTCAAATAAATTAATTGCTAACTATTAGATACGTACCTACTTGATATTTTTTCAAAATCGGGGCAGTACCCTTTTTCACGATAATCTTCATAGGAATTATAAAATTTATAGAGGTTAATATAGGCATCTGTTCTGATAAAACAATTTCTTAACGATTTTTAAAGAACAGATCCTACGGAATTTATTTGATGGATGCTGTACGATATCTAATTTCGTATTTGTTACACCTGTAGGAGAATATTAGAGGTGAAATCCATCAGCGTGGATCATTTGGAGGTTTCAAGCGATAGAGAGTAATACTTCACAAAACTGTCACAAAGCTAATGTAACTTGTGTTACCTCTGATGTGTTTCATCGTGGAATTTTGTTACAGGTATGAAACCGAAGATGAAGAATCACTTCCGTGCTCATCAGTTAAGTGTCTGGCTTCGCCTTATCCCAGAATTGCACAGGGCTGGAATGGAGGACGTCGTAGCCAGACATAATTTATTCAAGAACCACAACAATCCTGAAATATATGAGGGTTTGGTCCGTCCCGACCCTCTTTCTCGAGCGGGTTACACTGACCCCATAACGGAATTGTTTCGAAAGAAAGCCAACGTCAGTTTGCAAACCATCGAAATTCCCACAACAATCGATCCAATGATGATGACGACATGTGTCAGTGTAGTGTCTTCGGGAACGTTCAATCATCAATCTTATCAAAACACTTCAGCCGACACGTTAGCCAGTTTAGAAGCTGCTGGTTACGCTGCTTACAGCACCGCCTTAAGTGTCACCATTGCTATCGGGTGTTCCCTGCTCATATTAAACGTTCTCATCTTTGCCGGTGTCTATTATCAGCGGGACAAAACGAGATTAGAAGTCAAATCACTTCAGCAACAGCAGCAACGTAATCAAGCAAACTTTGAAGCCATATCGAAACATGGTCATTACCACATAGGACATTCCCAAACAGCCAACGTGATAGTGGACGTTGAACAAGACACATCAGCAATGATGCTCGCACAGCAGACTGAGGTCAGTACGTTATCGAAAGGTCAACAGCATCTTTGTACGGGAAACATGCCAATGCCCAATTCCATTAAAGGTTCATCAGCAAATCCCAGTATTGGTAATCAGGGAAATTGTATGACCCTTCCAAAAAATGCAAGTACGTGTAACCAAAGTTATGGGCAACCTTATCTCACTTTACCAAAGAACGCATCCATGCTAAATAAGGCAGCCAACATTATAGCAGAGATGCAGCAACAAGGGTATGTGCAGCATCCAAACGGTAGTGCTACAATTCCACTCAACGTTCCAAAACCTCCACCCCCACCCAAATCAAAGAGTCCACCGGAACATCAACCCCTTCTCTCGGCACACAACAACAAATCGAACATTAACCGGGTTCCTCAGGCGGCCATGAACGAAATGAGGGTGTGATAATGCGAAGGAACATTGTTGAACTGTCTTTATGCTCAAAACGTCCCAACGGCATCTATAAATTCCGTTAAAAAAATTGAAAGACTTCTTAAACCAATTTGTACATAGACCAATGTCAAATATAGGTCATTCTCAATTTTGTGTGCTTAAGATAATACTTTATCAACCAAATCAAACTTTTAGAGCTTTATTAACGTTGTTGTGTTGATAACTTTATTAATTAATAATACGTTTCTGGTTTCTGTCGATTCAGTTTTCGGAAAGCTCGCAACTGGACGATTAGTAGGAATGCGATAAAAAATATAATTGTTACTTTTAAATATCTTCATTCTTTATCTAGGACTGATACCTTAATATAATGAAATGTACTGAAACATAAATATGTATTTGTATTCCTAGACTTGTTATCCGATGTTTTAAATAATGTCACAACTTAAATAAAAGTTTATCGATAACCTTCTGCTAGTTGACTTATTTTACGAACCAGTCCAAATAAATAAAATTAATTATACTATATACTGTATATAAATAAATTAAATATTAGATGCTACATTTTTTTTAATGTTGGCATTATACAAACGCGTTGCACCTACAGATAACCTTTGTTTGCAAAAATATCAAAATTGTTTCTCATATTTGTTTCAATAACTAGATTAAAATTAAATTAATACTGCAATATATGTCTTACTCCTAGAAATAATACGAAAACACTTAAATAATAAAATGTACGATTGCCATACGAAAAATGTAAAATTGGAATAATAAGTTAAATATAATTATCAGAATATTAAATGAAATCCGTTGATCCATATAAAACACTACCAGTGGGTGTAGTCCTTGCACAATAAATAATTAATAAATGTTATTTAAGATTTATTCACTACAGTACCTGTGTCCGATGCTTCTGATGAGTCACTACTACTAATGTCAGTGTCTTTTTTGTTTTGTTTCAGCAATACATCCTGACTATGACATTGTTCACCAGCTGATTCCTTTTCAGCTTGTGGTGTTTTAACTGTTTCTTTAGTGCTTTCAGTTCTTTGATCTTCTGATACTGAATCGAGACTGCTTTGTTTGGTAAGCATCGTAGTCCTTAAATTACTATCACCAAGCGTCACTCTAGGAACATTTTTATTTCTCGGTAAATCTCTTGGTTTCCTCAAAGTACTTGGTTTAGTTATTATTTTAGGTTCGAGCCGTATAACTGAGTTATCAGGATTTATTGTTTTATTTGTCGTCTCGGATGATGGTGTTGTCTTCGGATTAAGATTGTCGTATATTGGTTGGGTGTTAAGTCGGTTTTCACTTGTCGAAACAAATGGATTTGGCTTTTTGATTCCCTTAACAGGTAGTAGCGGTCCTACATAGAGATTGTTGCAAGTTATTTCTGGTTCAGGTATTTCTGGTGGTTCTTCTGCCAACACAGCATGAGAATGTATAAGAGTATGCCTGTTCGAATTTCGTCCTAGGGATGATGTGGTCCTCGGTGGTGGTGCTGGAGGAAACCGGCAGTTAAGCCGATTGGGAGATGTAGGTTGTGACAGCGAGGAGATAAAACCTGCTTCTGGGATAGTGTGAAAAAGTTGATTGGACGTAGGCATTGACATCCTTCTACCAGGATGATCAGGGAGCACTTTTGGAAAATTCCTTCTTTTTATTGTCATAAGCTGTTGCTCATGAGTAAGCGGTGGTAACTGCTCACTCACGTCATCTCTGGAAGTGACATTTACGTCTTGTTGTGGATCAAAACTGCGCAGTCGTTTCAGCGGAACTCCTATCCTCGGAAAGATCATTTCAGTATCTCTAACAGGATCGGATTTCGAATGATGGTGTTCAATCTTGACGATCGTGGGTTGACCTAAGTCCCATCCATTTTCGGGAATTTTGAGGTTAATACTAGTAGAACTTCTTCGCAATGAGTCATTGTTGGAAAATCTGTTCACATCATCAAGGGTTGCAGATCGTCTCAGATTGGTTTCACTGTCCTCTTGATGGTCGAAAGATCTATTGAACTCAAAGGATTTAGTAAGTTCAATAGGTTGTTGTCTCAGAACGCTACTTCCTCTTCCCGATGGAGTCGCGTCAACAGCTACTGAAACCTTTTCTGTCTTGCTTATAGATCTAACATGAGATTTGGAAAAAAATTTACGAGAAGGAGGTTTATGAGCTGAAGTGGAATTAGATAGTTTGGAATTATTGTGTTCCTTCATATCTGAAGTATTCTCAGTTGGACTAACTGGACGTGTAGGAGAACGATTGATAGTCGAGGTACTGTCTGCATTTTGTAGAATGTCTGATCCAGATATCGGTTCGTTTCTACCTACGGAATTTTGTTTAGAATGGTTACCGATTTTAGATTTTCTTACAGAACGCGGACTTCCTTTTTGTGCAACTTCTTGAGAAATCCAGTCCCTCACTTTCGAATGAGGATCAATGGTACTACTAGACATTTGCCTTATAAGTTTCAGTTTGCTTGTGGAGCAAACACCTTCATTTATCTTTACCGCCTCATAAGTGTCTTCACTTTTATTTGATTTAGTTATCATTTTCATTAAACGACAGCCAGCATACTTCTTCTTGACAGCTGGTTGTCCACCTTCGAAGTCAGGATCAAACAGTTCATCGTTACGGACTCTGACCATTTCGGTGCTTCTATTTCTATCACGTTTTTTTAATCTAACACATTTGTAATACAGAAGAGCCAAAATGACCACGTTTGTTAGAAGAAAAAGTGTACCCACCGCAATGACAATTCTAACAGTACCATTGTTGCTGGGTTCTGTGGACAGAACGCTTCTGGAAATATCCTCGTTCTGTATTCTTTCGGTTTCTTCCATCAATTCTCCCCCATATGTCATGTTTTGTTTTGGACTAAATGAGCCTGGAAACGTTCGTGGAATTACCACGGGTGGTGGATTCAACCCCGGAAGTGCATGCCCGGCAATTTTCATTTCTTTTCGTTCTTCAAGAAGTTTCGGCATCTCTTCGTTCCAGTACGCTACCTCTCGATGTCGATAGTGGAAACCAATTTGGGGTGGAATTTCTGAAAGGAATGTCGGAATTTTTAAGGGGTTGCTATTTGAAAATGCCTAACACATACTTAAGTACATGAAGGGTTCTCCTTGAGAATCGTAATTTATCCAATCGACACTGAATCGCTTCCAATCTAAAGGGTGCATCGTGTAGAAGTCGTTTCGACGTGGAATGTTTGGATCTCTGAAAGGATCGATGTATGAATATATATTTCATCATATGAATGAAAATGGTTCAATATCTAAAAGGTATACATCAAGCACATATAAGAATCGTGAGGTCTTGCATCTACTAAAGTTGTACATATAAATTTTATTTTGTGTTATAAAATATTGCTGCAGTGGCAGTAAAAAGAATATTGAAAACTATATGGTCTTCATCATACATTTATTTTTAACTGCTCTGCACTTCAATAAGGATTCCAGAAAGAGACATTTGTTCCCTTAGATAACAAATACAGTGCAAAATTCGAGAACAAAGGAAAATAATCGATTAATTTTGAATATTAAGCACCTACTGTTGAGTAATTGTCG